AAAAAAAAAAAAAAAAAAAAAAAAAAAAAAAAAAAAAAAAAAAAAAAAAAAAAAGTAGTGTTGTACCATGGCTGTGTAAACTACCCTTTAGAGCCAAGCTACTTCTAGAGTATCACCAAGGAGCTATGAGGATACATACGATTATACTTATAAACTTTATAAAGATTCCATGACTGTAACAGTTTCTGTATTTTATTAAAGAGTTCCTGTACGATTCCGCTCCAGTTGAACTGCAATGCTGAGAGCAATCGTTGACACAGCATCCAAATATTCCAAATTACAAGATGAGTACTGTTTCAAGTGCGTGATTTTTTTTTTTTTTTTTTTCAAAAGCCCCGTCTCAGCATGCGCCAGTCATAAATTGGCACCCATTCGACTCGCACGAGTTTCCCTGGAAAAGATAAGTGGGAGGCGATGAGAGTGTCGGGCGCGTCGTCGTCGCAATCGCCGTGGGAGATCTAAAAAAAAAAAAAAAAAAAAAAAAAAAAAAAAGAAAAAGGGCCCCCTTTTTTTTTTTTTTTTTTTTTTTTTTTTTTTTTTTTTTTTTTTTTTTTTTTTTTTCCTGGAAAACAATTTACGTAAAATTTTTCACGTGAGAAAATATTTTTTCGAAATCGTTAAAGCGCAAACATTGTAATTTCAGTCATGAATAGCGTGTCGATACCTTTTTTTTTTTTGTTTTATTTTTGTGCCCAGGCAACATAATATTACTCAAGTATAGTGTAGGTGTAAGTTCACCAGACGTAAGTAAAATTATCAAGGAATCATTAATAAGCGCGAAGATTAACCCGAGACAGAGTCAAGACCACCAAGCTGATTAAAATTTGAAGCAACGAGATGATCTCACGCATAGGTGTACTTGTTATTTTACCGGCAACAGTGAAATGAGCAGAAAAACTTTCAGGAGGCCTATCGATCGCCGTTCCCGGCGAACTTTTGGGATACTGGGAGGCGCACCAGAAGTACGGCAGACTGCCCTGGAGAGACCTGTTCACCGGCGCGATCGAACTGTGCGACACCGGCGTCGTGGTTAACAAGTACCTGGAGACGAGCCTCAAGGGCAAGGAGAGCTTCATCCGCGACGAGAAGAACAACCTCGCCGACATCCTTATCAACCCGGAGACCAAGCAAGTATACTCCGTAAGTGTCGTGTTGTACAATGCCCGCGATCCGATCGTGTCGAGCTGTTGTGTTTGATTGATTCGCAAAGGCTGGCGAGAGGATGAAGATGCCGCAGCTGAAGGAGACGCTGATGATCCTGGCCAACTCCTCGAACCCCGTGGAGCTCTTCTACAACGGGTCCATGAGGGACGCCCTGGTCAGCGAGATCCGAGACGCGGGGGGCATCGTCACTCCCGAGGACTTTTCCAACTACAGGCAAGCACCCTACACACGATAATATGTATAGTATATATAATTGTTACCACGAAGCATGGATATAATTATTATTTCGGTCATTGTGGTTTTGCAGGGTCAACTGGACGGAGCCGCTCGTGGGAAAAATCGGCAACGTGACGGTGTACACGGCACCGCCGCCCGGCTCGGGGGCACTGCTCGTTTTCATGATGAACGTCCTCCAGGGCCTCGTGCCCGCTAACGACGAGAACGTCATGTGGCAACGCATCATCGAGACCTTCAAGTGGGCCTACGCCAAGCGCACCGAGCTCGGCGATCCCCACTTTGTTGACGTTGGTACGTGTGCCCCGCGCGTGAATCCATTACCATCGCCGATACGCGACGCGACTAATCAATATACTGTTGTATACGTACACGCGGATGGTTTTTATTAAATGTTGGGTAAATATCTCTGATGGTGATTGGAGGGGGGGAGAGGGGGTACTTGGAATTTTGATGAGAGATCGGCAGGATGAGTCAATGATCGGTACGTTCGTTTGAAATTCATGGGTCGTTGTTTTATGTTTAAAGTCAATAAATAATACCAAAAGTGGCGATCGGAAGATGGGGGGAAAAAATTAATAAATAAGAAACGATCATAGATCAGTGCCGTGGTTTTTAGATAGCCTCCTGAAGAAGTTGACGTCGCAGGATTTCACGGATTCCATAAGGTCGGAAATTAAGGACAACAGGACGTCGAATGATCCGGAATTTTACGGCGCCGTGACGTCAAACGTGGAGGACCACGGGACCGCGCACGTGTCTGTCTTGGCCGCCGACGGCTCGGCCGTGTCTGTCACGTCGACCATCAATCAGGTGTACGCGTTTTCTTTTTCGTTTTCAAAAGGGGATGTATTCGTATGCATATTTGATCATTGGAAAATTGTAATGTTTTGCAGTCTGGGTTCCAAGCTTCGATCCAGGTCGACGGGAATCATTTTCAACGACGAGATGGACGATTTTAGCTCGCCGAATATGACCAACGGCTTCGATCTGCCGCCGTCGCCCAACAACTACATCCAGCCCCTCAAGAGGCCAATCAGCTCTATGACTCCCACGATAGTGGTTAGTGTGTATTATTAATTTTAAAAAATCGAGGCAGAGTTGTTGAACGTACACGTTTGGGTTGCGTGACGACATAATTTTGAGACTCAATTTTCATTTGTTTGTTTTTTTTCCATCAAGAGCTTAATTACTGTACCACTTACAGGTGAACGAGAATAACAAGGTTCAACTAGTCATTGGTGCTGCCGGTGGATCAAAAATAACAACGTCTGTGGCTACGATTATGTTGCTTCACTTGTACAACAATTACAACATCAAAGAAGCCATCGACGCTCATCGGATTCATCACCAAGTAAAAAAACGAGTGTTCATGAAAATAAATCATTTTACTCGCTGCGAGATGCCAAACGCAAAATATTGTTTTTTGTTATTTTAGCTATTTCCAATGAAAGTGCAAAACGAGAAGGAATTCCCAGAGTCGATTTTGAAGTTCTTGGAGGACATCGGCCACAACATCACCGAGTATTCTGGAATCGGAAGTGCAGTCACGGCCATATCGAAGATAGGTAATCGAATAACGGCCAATTCGGATTATCGGAGGCAAGGAAAGACGGCTGGTTACTGAATCACGACCACGGAGTCGGCATGAAGTCGACTTGTTTGATATCAAAATTTCTTTTGAATAGTTTGAATTATTTATACTTGCTTACATGAATACGCATGTATTCTGTATCAAACAAAAGTACAGGCGCTCGTCCGTACACATGTGATTACTCATACTCTGTGATTGTATGATGTTTGAGATATTTTTGTTTTTTTTTCTTGAAATTTTATTTTTAAATTGTATACTTACGAAAATTTTATGCGTGTATTTATAAAATTTTGAGTGATGCATCTATCAAAATACATTTAAAAAATTTTTACTCGTGTCTTCGTGTACACGTATTCCGGAATGCAGCAACAACAATTACGAAATCAATTTTCGTTTTTGCAGTGCAGTGATTATTCAAGTACGTTCCATGATGAAATAATTAAATTAAACTTAATCGTGCGAAGTTTAAGGTTAACGTATTAATCATCACACATAATTGTCTATTTTGATGGAAAGCGTTACTGTGTATTTACGTTGCGTATTTACATTTTCTTTTCTCGAGAACTATTAGACATATATTACACTACAGTATTGGATCATTCATAAGTAGATTATCTAGTTGTGTAGCTACATCAGTTTTGATTTTTTGAAAAAATCGACGCGTTTTATTCATGCTTTGTACATAAACAGTTTGTTACGAAAACTTGTAAAAAATCTTACATTAAATACTTTACAACTTAGCTGTGAACACAAACATTTGTACCATTACACATCTAATCACTACTGCTTTCAGATAAGTTGGCATCTTTATTAATTTTTTTAACAACCTTCTTTTTCTTAGCTGTGCGGTCCAGCCCCGTTTTGGATTTACGAAATATCTCGATCGCCTTTAATTTCGACTTTAAAGCATTTACTTTATCCTTTTCCTTCTGTGGAATAACCTCGTCGATTGCAATCATCTTTATGGGCTTTGTTCTATCATTAGGCGGAACTAATTTCCTTGTAGTTATTCTATTGGGTTCTGCTTTAACTTCACTCTTGACTTGTACAGCTTCAGTCTCGGATTCACCCTTAATTTCATTTTGTTCGATTTTAAGTTTACTCTCCTCTTCATTCTCAACTGATTCCGCAATAGCTGGTAACTCGCTTTCTATGTCTTTAGATTTCTTTCCTCGTTTGACCGCTACTTTTCTTGGCTTTTTGACTTTATCTTTTGAAGTTGATGCTTTTGGTGCATCACCTTCCAATTCTTCGTCAGCTTCTCCTTTACTACTAAGTTTTTGGATAGCTGTTTGAACTCTTTTACTCATAGCCGTTTCGATAGATTTTGGTACGAGCTGGTATTTGAAGTACGAGTCTATCACCCTTTGACTCTGAGTCTCATTGTACCTCTTCATGACAGGATTCATGATCTCATCGAATTTTAGTTTCGTCCAGCCAAATTTTCGCTTTACATAGTCGGCTAATAAAACTAAATTTGGTTTACTCCATGAGAACGGTTCGGTTGATTCATCAATCGTTGGAGCCAAGTACGCCTGAACCACAGCTTGACTAGGAAATCCTTTGAAAAAAAAAATAGAAAAAAGTAAACAATCAAACGGATTAAAATATAATTATTCTTAAAAATTACATTTACTAGACTTACCTTTTTCGATTTGTACATTTTTAAGTTTATTGCGTAGAGTAGTTTTCCCGGGTGCAGCCAATTTTCCTGCCCTGAACCAGGCTGCAAATGATCGCAGACCACGCAAGAAATCTTCTCCTTCGCAAGGAAAAGACGCTAGAATTTCTAACGCAGTGACAGGACCAACGGCCGCGAGTCCATTCGTGTAATCACTGCCAACCAATAAAGCTAATAGGATCATTTCCTTTCTGGAAAGCTCTGCAAAAACAACGATTACGTAAAGATAACAACACAACACGTAGCATGTTAATAAAATATACTTACTGAAATGATGCTCTATGTCGTTTGATAAATACTGCAAGACTTTTTTATTGTTGTCGAAAAAATTTTTGTACACACAGTGACCACCAAAAAGCCAGATATCCGAATCATCGGTTACGGTGCCATTAGTAAGTTTAACTTGTTCCAAATACGCACACTGAGCTTCAGCCTCCATAGGAGCCACAATGTAAGGAACACCAAATAACTGTAAAAGTTCTTGTGCTTCTATCCTCATTTGATCCGTAATGTCGATGGCTTGTCTCTCGAGTTTTCCTAAGCTTCCAGCGATTTGCTGTTGCTCATTTTCTAGTTGTTGCTAATTAAAATAAATATATCAAAATTGTTATTTAAATAAGAGATTTTTTTTTTTTAAATAAGTTTCCTTATACCTTCATAGATTCCAGTTCCTTTTCATCTGTGGGAAGGATAATAGCTGGCTTTTTTACGGTTTCCACTACTTTTTCGGTTTCCTTTGGAATGTCATTANGTACCTCCTGAACCTTTTTGTTCGCAACAAAAGCATCCGTTAAGCTGATACGCATTAAATAAGTTTCCTTATACCTTCATAGATTCCAGTTCCTTTTCATCTGTGGGAAGGATAATAGCTGGCTTTTTTACGGTTTCCACTACTTTTTCGGTTTCCTTTGGAATGTCATTAGTTGTAGAGTTTTCTACAGTTTTTGTTTTAGCAAGAAAATCTGAATCTCCAAAATCAATATCAGAGACTACATTTTCATCTTTTTCTTCATTTTGTATTTCTTTGATATCATCTTGGTAAGTTTCAATTTCTTCTAATGCTGCAGAATCAATAATTTTTTCTACAAGATTTCCAATGGTCAATGAATCAATGACCTTATCAGAAGTTTGCGGAAAAGACTTATAAGTGTCTTCTGATTGTACTTTCACTGGGGTAGTTGGCATCGAACTTTCATTATCGATTTTCTCTGTTTCAAACTTTTGTTTTATTGCTTTTAATTGAGATTTCACTTCTTTAAGTGCTTCCATTTGCTTTATACGAGCATCTTGAAAATTTTTTTTCACCACTTCTTCCGATTCCTTCTTTTTTTCGGGACTTTTAACTAATTTTTCAACAGTACTTGCGTCAGAAAAAATATCGGCAAATATGTCGTCTTCAAGATCTTTCTCAGCGTTTATCATTATTTGGAGACCAACATTTTGCGGTTTTTTGACAGCTGACACCTCTGGAATGGGAACATCTTGAACCTCAATGAAATCGTCAGATTCGTCATCCGAAGACTCTTTTGTAATGGTTCGGTCGTAAACTTCATTTTCAACCGATTTTCCTTTAGAAGTAATTTTTTCTGTAACTTCTTCAAAATCTTCAGATTCCGAGGATGACTCCACGATAACAGCTGTCGGTTCTTCCGCAGTTTCTTGTTTTTTTTTCGATAACTGTACATCAAACGATAATTTTCTCTTTTTGGTTACAGACAAACGAAGCGATTTCTTTTTCTTTCTTTCCTTTTTAGATGAAGCGGTCGAGCTTGCTGTATCCGAGTTTGCTTGATTTTGTTTACGCTGTTCTACTATTTTTACTATTTGGTCACGCGTAAATCCGCTATTTTCTAACATATAAGCCAAAGCCGGGTTCATCACCGACTTTGGGATATTGTTCTTCGTTAACTGCGGGGACTCATTGTGCGTTGTTTCGAAACCTTCATCTGAATTCCATTCTTCATCTAGATCGTATGCATTAATATCGTTGATTACTGATGCTGAAATTTCAGAATTCACAGATAAGGAGTCGGATGTAGCGTCTTTTGAGCTGGAATCTGGTTCTTTTGACTTGCTTGGTTTTGAACTTTCTGAATCACTAGTATTTTGTGTACTTTGCGAATCTAGAACAAAAAATACTTAGTTTGATTCGAGCAATCGATCGAAATGAAAAATTATAACGATTGATTTACCTTTTACATAAATAACTCTAGTTGTGCTGTCGGAAGCAATACGAAAAGCTTTATCTTGTTGCAAGGTTGTATTGATGCCTTGATCAGTCAAGAGTTTATTTAATTCTTCCAAAGTTAAAGATTTTCCTCCCATTTCTTTTTCAGCTTCTTCAAGAGATTCTTGAACGTACCTTCTTTTCAATAAACGTTTTACTTGAAAGCCAGAGTAGTTATTAGAGCCCTAAAATTTCGTTAGAGAAGATAAATGTTTATTTAACAATCGGAAATGTAAACGTAATTTAAAAAATACCATACTTTCGGTAACTCGTGTAGACGACCCCAAGAGTTTTGCTTTCTGGTATCTTTCAGATCCGTTAAAATATCATACCTGACATCAGCCGGTAAATTTTTGAATTCCTCGTTATCCACATCAACACTGTGAATATTTCCCATCCACTTAGACTGCTTACGTGGACTGAGATGCAATTCATCCTCATCCTCACTGTTTATGTAATCATCAGGATCTAATTGACTCCCACTGGGGATCTCAGGTAGTTTGTACATGTCATTGATAGCAGATGTGACACTGCTAGCTTTTGTATCCTTCAATTGTTGTATAGCAGTACTGCTTTCTTCGTTGTCATTTCCTTTTTCAAGAGCTCCTTTCACTGCTGTATGTTTTATCAGGTTGTTTATCAAATCGTTCTTTAACTTTTGTGCTTTACTAGATGCAATAGATTTTAACTTCCTGCGTGTAGCCTGTAGATACAAAAGAATAAGAGGACTTGGTTCTCACTACCTGATTCCCACGCCAAGCTAATTACATCTTAGGGATATTGTAATTTAGATGAAGAGAAGAAGTTCTGTGATTTGAAAAACGGGAGTCTTTTCGTTTAAAAAAAAATAATAATAAAAATTATTTCCAATTAGGTGCACCTATTTAAAATTATAATTGTACTCAAACGAAGATTAGAAAAAATTTTACAAGCGNCTGCGTGTAGCCTGTAGATACAAAAGAATAAGAGGACTTGGTTCTCACTACCTGATTCCCACGCCAAGCTAATTACATCTTAGGGATATTGTAATTTAGATGAAGAGAAGAAGTTCTGTGATTTGAAAAACGGGAGTCTTTTCGTTTAAAAAAAAATAATTCTTTGGCACTATTACCAACATTTATTACAAATATGATCTTTAAAATCACTTAAAAAAAAAAAAAAAAAAAAATTTTGTGACTCTGAAGTAGATTGAAAATAAAAATGTACTTACAATGGTATTTTTTTTAAGCAAAGGTACACCACCATCAAAAACAAAAACAGGCTTGATCTTAAAGTACATCAATTTACAAATCCTGTTAAATAAACCAATAAGGTGGGCGTTTGGCAAGGCATTTCCTCTGCGATCCTGATACCCTTGAATTACCTGATGTATCCAAATGGAAATATCTACAAACGGTTTAACATATATTTTATCCTATGCAGTAGAATTACTCGATGAAAACAAAAATAATAACTTTACCTATTGCTAGAACTTTTCCTTCGAGAGTTTCTAAAGGAACTGGCTTTCCTGTAGCATCTACAAGTTTCCAAAGTCCAAGAACTCCCATTGTTTTTCTTAATTATTCTACAACAAAAAAAGCTGATGTAATGATTCAATTGTTAATATATGAAATATTTATTGGAGGTGAGTTATATCATGTATAAGAAAAGACGTAACCTACGGATGCAGTTTTATTAAAAAAAAAAAAAATAAATAAATAAAATAAGGTAAAACGTTACCCAAAATATAATTCCTTAACCTTAACTCCACAAGTAAAAACAGCCTTTTCCAACAATCTTAACAGGTACTACGAATTGACAACAGTCAATAAATTATCGATAAACATTTGTACTTACATTTATAAGCAATAAACAGACAAACATGAAGAAAAAACCTTTTTGTTCGCAACAAAAGCATCCGTTAAGCTGATACGCAAAAAATATCGTACCGCAAAACTTTTGTATATGTACATATATATACTGATCAGCTGATCGGCGATTCGGCACTAGGAACGGAATCTTGCTTACCGACACTTTTCAATTAACAAAATTTTACAGTCTAATGGTTAAATTTTCAGCTTATTATAAAATACAAATTTGACATTGTTTGTGCTATTTGCGACAAGTGTAAAATTTATCTTTTACCCGAAAATCTATCTCCAAAAGTATAAATATATAGGAAGTCAATTTTTGGATAAAAGATAACTTGTACACTTGCTGCAAATAGCACAAACGATATCAAAATTTTATGATATATCTATACAATTAGTTGCGGCTGGTTTATAATTGATTTAATGGTTCTAGGCTCTAAAGCTCTGATTCAGAATTTTAGAGGCCACTTTTCGCTAAAAAATGAAGACCGCTAGATGGCGCTGTTCCAAATAATTTGTGGGGTACTGGGGTCCAAGATATACCCATAGAAGAGGTATCGCCGTGAGAGAGCTGTGCACCCCCACAAATTATCACTACTTATAGTAGAGCCATGTAATCAATTATAAACCAGCCGCAACTAATCTTATAAATGTAAAATACAAAGCTGACATTGTTTGGGCTATTTGCGATAAATTTTCAGTTTATCTTGTACCTGAAAATCGACCTCCAAAAGTATAAATATTCAAAACACTATGCTTATGTAAAAAAATGCCGTGTCTGAGCCTACGGGCGATGATAAATAAAAAAAAAAAAAAAAGTAGTGTTGTACCATGGCTGTGTAAACTACCCTTTAGAGCCAAGCTACTTCTAGAGTATCACCAAGGAGCTATGAGGATACATACGATTATACTTATAAACTTTATAAAGATTCCATGACTGTAACAGTTTCTGTATTTTATTAAAGAGTTCCTGTACGATTCCGCTCCAGTTGAACTGCAATGCTGAGAGCAATCGTTGACACAGCATCCAAATATTCCAAATTACAAGATGAGTACTGTTTCAAGTGCGTGATTTTTTTTTTTTTTTTTTTCAAAAGCCCCGTCTCAGCATGCGCCAGTCATAAATTGGCACCCATTCGACTCGCACGAGTTTCCCTGGAAAAGATAAGTGGGAGGCGATGAGAGTGTCGGGCGCGTCGTCGTCGCAATCGCCGTGGGAGATCTAAAAAAAAAAAAAAAAAAAAAAAAAAAAAAAAGAAAAAGGGCCCCCTTTTTTTTTTTTTTTTTTTTTTTTTTTTTTTTTTTTTTTTTTTTTTTTTTTTTTTCCTGGAAAACAATTTACGTAAAATTTTTCACGTGAGAAAATATTTTTTCGAAATCGTTAAAGCGCAAACATTGTAATTTCAGTCATGAATAGCGTGTCGATACCTTTTTTTTTTTTGTTTTATTTTTGTGCCCAGGCAACATAATATTACTCAAGTATAGTGTAGGTGTAAGTTCACCAGACGTAAGTAAAATTATCAAGGAATCATTAATAAGCGCGAAGATTAACCCGAGACAGAGTCAAGACCACCAAGCTGATTAAAATTTGAAGCAACGAGATGATCTCACGCATAGGTGTACTTGTTATTTTACCGGCAACAGTGAAATGAGCAGAAAAACTTTCAGGAGGCCTATCGATCGCCGTTCCCGGCGAACTTTTGGGATACTGGGAGGCGCACCAGAAGTACGGCAGACTGCCCTGGAGAGACCTGTTCACCGGCGCGATCGAACTGTGCGACACCGGCGTCGTGGTTAACAAGTACCTGGAGACGAGCCTCAAGGGCAAGGAGAGCTTCATCCGCGACGAGAAGAACAACCTCGCCGACATCCTTATCAACCCGGAGACCAAGCAAGTATACTCCGTAAGTGTCGTGTTGTACAATGCCCGCGATCCGATCGTGTCGAGCTGTTGTGTTTGATTGATTCGCAAAGGCTGGCGAGAGGATGAAGATGCCGCAGCTGAAGGAGACGCTGATGATCCTGGCCAACTCCTCGAACCCCGTGGAGCTCTTCTACAACGGGTCCATGAGGGACGCCCTGGTCAGCGAGATCCGAGACGCGGGGGGCATCGTCACTCCCGAGGACTTTTCCAACTACAGGCAAGCACCCTACACACGATAATATGTATAGTATATATAATTGTTACCACGAAGCATGGATATAATTATTATTTCGGTCATTGTGGTTTTGCAGGGTCAACTGGACGGAGCCGCTCGTGGGAAAAATCGGCAACGTGACGGTGTACACGGCACCGCCGCCCGGCTCGGGGGCACTGCTCGTTTTCATGATGAACGTCCTCCAGGGCCTCGTGCCCGCTAACGACGAGAACGTCATGTGGCAACGCATCATCGAGACCTTCAAGTGGGCCTACGCCAAGCGCACCGAGCTCGGCGATCCCCACTTTGTTGACGTTGGTACGTGTGCCCCGCGCGTGAATCCATTACCATCGCCGATACGCGACGCGACTAATCAATATACTGTTGTATACGTACACGCGGATGGTTTTTATTAAATGTTGGGTAAATATCTCTGATGGTGATTGGAGGGGGGGAGAGGGGGTACTTGGAATTTTGATGAGAGATCGGCAGGATGAGTCAATGATCGGTACGTTCGTTTGAAATTCATGGGTCGTTGTTTTATGTTTAAAGTCAATAAATAATACCAAAAGTGGCGATCGGAAGATGGGGGGAAAAAATTAATAAATAAGAAACGATCATAGATCAGTGCCGTGGTTTTTAGATAGCCTCCTGAAGAAGTTGACGTCGCAGGATTTCACGGATTCCATAAGGTCGGAAATTAAGGACAACAGGACGTCGAATGATCCGGAATTTTACGGCGCCGTGACGTCAAACGTGGAGGACCACGGGACCGCGCACGTGTCTGTCTTGGCCGCCGACGGCTCGGCCGTGTCTGTCACGTCGACCATCAATCAGGTGTACGCGTTTTCTTTTTCGTTTTCAAAAGGGGATGTATTCGTATGCATATTTGATCATTGGAAAATTGTAATGTTTTGCAGTCTGGGTTCCAAGCTTCGATCCAGGTCGACGGGAATCATTTTCAACGACGAGATGGACGATTTTAGCTCATTTTTTAAAAATAAATTAAATTTACATCCTCATTCAAAGTTGCAATTAAAAATTCAATGGAATTTTAATCTTATCGCATTATTTTTCAGCTATTGTGTTTGAGCACACCTTGCCAGTTGAACAATCATCATTACATTGTACTGTATATATTTGTGTAAGAAATTTAAACGAATATATCATGTGCATCATTGTTAAGGAAAATAATTTTATGCTGATAAAAAAAAAAAAATTAAAAAAAATAGGTCATACAAGATTTACGTTTCATATAGAACTTGAGATTTGCGAGTATACTCGAGACACAAGGCTCATTGAAACGCGTAAAAATATTGTCAGATTATGTTCAACGCGACGACAACAATAAAAATGTATTTTATGTATTTTACGAGCAAGAAAAAAATTAAGGCTCGAGAGCTCGTAAATAACTCAAGTAGTCTGTGGTTTCTAAGTCGTTTCTCACTGATTTTGAAAAGTTTTAAAAAACCATTAAGCAAAGTATGAATGTCGTAAGGAGAGAAATTTTTATTACTCGCAGGCCGCGGTGGCGACGAATGGACCGCCTTGCGCGGAAATCGGCTCGGACATACTCAAACGCAATGGATCGGCAGTGGACGCGGCGATCGCGACGCTGCTCTGCGAAGGTCTTGCTTCCCTGCACAGGTAAGAAAATATACATTGTGCTGGCAATTACAAGTGGACACGATTTCTTGCGCAATATGACTAATTACTTAGCTTTGCATGCGAAACGTTTCCAAACACGAGTTTTACCAAGGAAAATCCAAGCACCATATTAAAATCATTTTCCGCAAGTTTTTTTTATGAAGCGGTTGTCTTTCTTTAGAAAACAAAAAGAAATTGGAAAATCCAGTGATTCCCCGGGATACCTGTTGCTTTGGAAAAAATGATCTGTTTTAATTTTCCATTTTTTTTTTTTTTTTTTTTCAA